CTGACACCTCACGTCTCCTCTCCATTCATTTACCGTTATTTTTTCAACTTACATTTTATATTAGGGAAGCATCATAGTGCAATAGCATGCACCCTGCTATGGGTTTTGTCAGGCACAAGAGGTGTTTTTACAAAAAGAAAGTAAAAAGAGAGAAAGGGTTGGATTGGGAAGGGAAACACAATGAAGTATCAAAAAGTCAAAGGACTGAGAAGGAACAAAATATTGCAGGAAATCAAAGAAAGAAAGAAAACCTTTTTTGCTTCCTATATGTATACTGAAATGGGGTCAATGCTGTCTGGATGGCATATCAGGTCTGATATCAGGTTTTCTCTTCCTTTTAAAATCTCACTTCCTATATCGAATGAATGCATTTACACATGTATGTCCCTGTGAAAATGTCTGTTCACAGGAAGATTTGATCAAGAATTCAGATGTTTTCTTTACCTTTTGAGTCCTAGCAGCTGCACATTTCTGAGAGGCAATGTAGTGCGCTACAGCATATTCTACCAAAGCACCAAATATGAAGCTGAAGCAGATGCCCAGGTAAATATCAATGGCTTTGATGAAACCATTGGTTTTTGTTACTGAGTTACGCGATCCCATCATCACAGTGGTCATGGACAGCACAGTTGTTACTCCTGAAAGATTGAATGGAAAACAGGTTTATTAAAAGTCAAAGGAGTCCCCCCCCCCCCCGGACTATGCACACAGGATTCTTCCAGGGCGGGACCAAAGCATTTTGCTACCTGAGCCAAGGGACAAAATGGCACCTTCTCCATTTTGCATCTAGAACCAAGCCAGATGGGCACCTAACCTCACTTCAAAAATAATAATGGGACAACAACTTCCACCAGGCCTGAGGATAGGCCAGCCAACTGGAGATGCTGGGCAGGCTACAGAACAAATGTAACATGCTGATTTCCAGCATTTCCCCACCACCTGGTGCCATTGTCTCACTGTGCCTAATGGTAGAGCACTGGCCGTGGTTGCTTCTTCCTAGTATTTTACTAGCTGGTAACAATATGAACAAAAATCACCTTGGTTAGAAGCACGTTGTATAGATTAAGAGCTTAATATGTATTGTAGTTGTATTAACAAATGACTATAAGTTGAAACCAGGTGACCTGATGTTAAATAAGCATGGATGGGTAGTTGTATTAACAAATGACTATAAGTTGAAACCAGGTGACCTGATGTTAAATAAGCATAGATGGATTTTATAAAGAAGGAGGAGGAGGAGGAGGAGGAGGAGGAGGAGGAGAAAAATTTTAAAAAAATGCCTTGCAATAAACCATGAGTTCCAATATTTAGGTTTGCTGACATTTTGTGCTTCAATTAACAGGGTACAAAGCTGGATACTCTCTGTGACTCCAGGCCTAGACTGTACCCTGACAAGATGCTACAGTCACATAATGTGTCACAGGAGAAAAGGATAATTTACTTTCTGGGAATAAAGAAAGGTGGTGCAAAGAACTGCTGGATAGCTCAGCAGTTTAGGTATCTGGCTGGGGAGCCAAAGACCGGGAGTTCAATTCCCCACTGTGCCTCCTTGACAGGGGCTGGACTCAGTAAGGTCCCTTCCAGCTCTTCAGTTCTAAGATGATAAGAACCCTGCATAGACTTATTGAGACATTTAACTGAAGGATTAATCTTACTGTGTGGGCAAGGGCATCAGGCTAGCTCCAGGTCCCTTCCAGTTCTTCAGTTCTAAGATGATAAGAATCCTGCATAGACTTGTTCACAGAAGCCTTATTGAGACATTTAACTGAAGGATTAACCTTACTGTGCGGGCAAGGGCAGCAGGCTAGCTCTGTTTCCTCCATCTTTGCTCTCACACGAGGAAATAAGTTGAAGAGAGACCTCTCTACACATGGGGTATTGTCCCATGATCAGAAACGCCAATATTTATTATTTTTTAACTGCATGGAGAGCCCCTATTGATAGAAAGGGCTCTCCTCATCAGAATTATCTGTCCACACAGGGCAGCCAAGGTAGAGGGCTAGCTTTTTGCTTCTACTCATACTAATCCTTTTACTGAGCACCTGAACAGGGCAAAAGATATCTGTTGTGGAAAACGTAAGTGTTGGAATTAAGATATTCAAGATTTCATTGGGCTGTAATTTTAAGTACATTTATGAAGGAGTAAATTCCATTGAGTCTTCAGAGAAAATACATGCTGGATACACTATTAAACACTCAAAGCATTTTCTACCTATTGTTTGTTTAGGCATCCTTCAGTCTCGAGAGACTATGGTAATGTGCTCTGAATAGAGGACTTGGAACAGCGTCTAGTGTGGCTGAGAAGGCCAATTCTACCTATTATCCCTATATGTATCAGAGTCACCTGTAAAGTACCCCATAATTAATCACATTTTGAGAAGCAAAGCTGAGGCTGAGAAGCAGTTGCTCAGTCTACTAGTGTGAGATGAGACTCAAATCAGAAATCCAGGATCAGGACTCAGAAAAATCAATTTGGGAGACTGCAACCCTCATATCGACCAGCCTAGCCACATACCTTAGTCTCTGAAACCTAGAGAGTTGTTTTCTAAAAATGTAACTTTTCCAAGCTGTGTTCCAGATCATAGCTCTTGTGCTTCAGTTTCAATTAGCAATCATCGCGCCTCGGATTAACCTCATTGGTTACAATACTGCCACTGCGCAAAGCTTACTTCAGATTTTGCGTGCATTATTTCTACAAAGAAAGCTTTCCCAAAACGGTTTCTTCTCTGTACTCAGATGTGAACGGCAAATTGGCAGCAATTCAGAATGAGGAGTGAGAGTTGCATTTCACTGGCATCTTAGTCTTCCAGTGGGACTATACGTGGGCAGCCCTGGCTAATGTGTTAATATGTAGCTGGATAAATGGGAGGTCTGGACTTCCATTTTGCCTGACAATTGTTATTCTATACCAGAAGTAGTTAATGTTTGACCCTCCTGATATTTTGGCCTGGGTACACGAGCAGAGGTAAAGGAATGTGAGTTCCCCTCTCCTACTAATCACCATCATCTGTTGTCAACCCAAGTCTGAGTTATGGCAATCCTTTTCAGGGTTTTACAAACAGAAAATACTCAGAAGTGGTTTACCCTTCCCTTCTTCTGGGGGTGTCCTGGGACTGTACAGCTTGTCCAAGGATACACAGGCTGGCTCTACTCATAGGAGGCCCACTGGGGAATCGAACTCCCAACCTCCAGCTCCACAGCCAGATACCTAAACCACTGAGCTATCCAGTCAATTATCCTCATTCCTATCTTATACTAAATATATATTTCCTTGTGGCACTCACTAAATTTAAACTGGAAACTGGATTTCTGGTTGGATCAAACTCATAGAAGTTTAGAAATGTCTTAGACCTGAAATGAATTTGGCCCCAAGAACTATCCTCAAAATACTCTTTGATACGTTTTTATGTCAAATGTTATCAGGGTAGTCTGTTTAATAGCTGGAATACACCTGGATCTAATGATCTACTAGTATTTGTAAGTTCCTACAAAGTGGTGTAGCACAAGAGCTAGGGAATATATTTCATATCAGCTTATTTACCACAGAATCTCTCTGGAATGCAAACCTTTCTGGGATATGTACTATGTAGAATATGTTCCATTTACATAGGACACTGCTTGACTTCAGTGTCTCCCATAAGAACTAAACATACATCCTGGAACACAGGTAAGATTTTCAGGACTGCAGGAAAAGATCAGAAATGGTACAACAACCCTTCTTTCACTGAAGGCTATCTCCTAATCCTGCATTTAAGAAACCCCAATAAGCTGTTAAAAAACAAGATCATTCCTAGAAGACATTTTGGAAAGCAAGAGAGAAAAAGAGAGAGAGAGAGAGACCCACACTTTGATGCACCATTGTTGATTGTCCTTAAAGTCTGGCATGAAATAATATTTTTTAAAATGTAGCTATTTCATAGCTGACAAATTATTGCACTTTCTGTTTGACAATATTTGTTAGATAACATGTGTTTGCTATGGCCATGTTTAAAGCAGTCAGCTATGAGTTTTTGAGCCACATTTAGAATATTAGGCAGGCAAATCTTCTTTCGAAATGTATATTGCCAAATTGGAAGTCTGCCACTTCCATATGAAATATTTGTGGTGATGCATTTTAGCTCTAGAAATGCTGACAGGATTTGGATCAATCTGCACCTCAGCCTAAGCAACAACTAGTAGCTCATCCTTTTCAAATCCCACCTCACCCTTTCCTCACAGCATGCTTATAATATTTAAATGCCCCACATCAAGAAACAGCTCACCAATACATGTTCTTGCAGGAACTGAATCCAGGGTGATCCAGAAAGAAACCCAAGACAGAATGACGAGCAGTGTGGATGGCACATAAGTCTCCAAAATAAAATACAAGATATTTCTCTTGAGCTCAAACTGTAGGATCAGTCTTGGGTAATTGCCTAAGTCAAGAGGGAATTAAAAACAGGCATGAAAACAAGGCTTGTCCTGAATCAAAGGGTAGCTTCAACTGAAGGTCACCTTGGGTTCTTTTTAAAGAGAAAGGCGGGATAAAAATATTTTAAATAAATAATAAAAATGTCACATTTCTGAGCCAGGGAGATTCATTAACTTATAATCAGTCAAGCAGTAATGCATGACTGGGCACCTGCTGGGGCCCACAAACTGGTCAAGGAACCTATTGCTCCTCAGAGATACAAGAAAAAGGAACACAAAGGCCTGGTCAGAATTCCCTGTTCCTGAAAAGCCAAACACACACCTTCTATGGTTCCTTTAGGGTCTGCTACTCTGTCATCAAAAGGGCCTGAGGAACCTCATTACTGATGAAGGCGAGGAAGCAGTGGCCCAAAAGCAAAGGCTGTTTTCATAGGGTTTCACCAGTTTGATTTAAGAATGGCAACCAAGCATTGTCTCACCCTTCTATAAATTGTGTCCCATGATCCTGCCTGCTACTTAAGTTCCTAATACATAGAAAAGCATAAGCTGTCTGATTTTTCTATTTCTTCAACTGCATTGCCCCCCCCCTGTGCTGCACATTTTCTGTTCAACGGCATGCTGTGTTTTTTTTTAAACACCCCCTAAGAGGATGGGCCCAAGATGTTACTATGCAAGGAGGATGCTGTGTATGAGAGCAGGGCTTCTTATGAGTGCCAAAGCAGAGTACAGAATGCTGCTTCCCACTCAACCACCAGATGACCACACCAGATTGACTGATTGTGTAAGGGCATCATTGGTGATCTTCCATAGTGCAGATGGAGAAGTGTATGGCAATAAGAAAGGAAACCAAGCAAGGCTATCTCATAGGCCTTTGTTCTGCCAGCAGCAACCTCCTTCTTTCAGATGATGGGCAAAAGGAAAGTGAAAAAGTTCACCTTCTCTCCAGTGGCTGTCACCAAGCATCCCCCCCACCCAAAGTGTACTGGAGGCCATTGCTCTAAGTATACTAGAGGCCACACATGCCCATCTCATTTTTGAACCTGCGTGTATGCCTTGAGTCAGACCCTTCATTCATCTAGCCCAGTGTTGTCAACTGACTGGCAACAATGGCTCTCCAGAATTTCAGACAGGATTCAGTCCTAGCCAGACCTAAAGATCCTTCGTATTTCTTGATGGTCTCCATTCCATCCACTAACCAGGCCCAACCCCGCTTAGCTTCCAATACTAGATGAGACTGGGTGTGTTCCAGACAGTAAGGTAGATGAACTTTAATTCTCCACATTGTGCCCAGAAGATTATGGGGTGAGGCCAGGGCAATTGTGTGGTGAACAGAAATGTGACATCATGTGATGTGACAATGGGGTGGTATCAACCAATCACCAGTCCCAGCTTTCTTTGTTTGATCATTTTTTCCTGGTTCTCCCTCAACCAACCTAGCCCTTAGGCCATTTAAGTTAACAAATGCCTCAGAGAAAAACTTCAGCAGCGAAGCTCTCAAAATCAGAGAAATGTTCACGGTTGGATCCGAACCACTGAGAACCACTAGACTCACCAGATACAGTACATGCCCTTCTGATGCTATTTGCTTGATCTTGTTGTTCTTGAAGTTTGTTACCTGTTTCTTGATGTGTCATTGTTGAAAGCATGTCATAATGTTCCAGTGTGTACTGAGAAAGTCTCAACTTTTCCAGGCCACGGACAGAATCATTTCCTCTCAGCCATTTGAACCGTACATCATTTTCATCATATCCCCCTGTAGATAATATACAGAAACAGTAGGAGGTAAATGAGCAATTAGGTGAAAAATTTTGTTCTCTCGTCCCTTCCACTGGACTGTAGGACTTCCACTTGCAGACCCACCATAACCGGGCAGGGTTAAGTGCATGTCTAGTGGAGATGCTGACCATGTTCCACTTCTATGGATTATCATCTCCAAACCAGTCGTTTCTTGTCCTTAAAAAAATAAATGAGGGGAGTAGCTTTTGGCACTCCCACCACCATTACCACTCTTACTATTATTATTTTGTTTTACCTACCAAAATAGATTCCAGTTTTAATTTGCTTTCTATTTTAGGACATGGCTTCCAGGGCTATCGGAGATAATGAGGGAGGAAACTAAGACACCCTATGGGAAGGCAGGGCAAGAATCACACAGGCCTAGCCCTGCCAGTCATAATAACTTCTACCCCCACTTTCTGAACCTGGAAACATTACTTCTTTGGAAGTCACCATGCTGTCTAGGGGATTCTAGGAGTTGTAGTCCAAAAAAGTAAATTGCCCAAGCTCTGCCTAGAACTTGCCTAATTCTTCCCATCCATTTCTGGAGCCCAAACTCTTAGACTGTGATGGGCTGTAGCTTACCTATCAATAACCAGTTTTTTGAGGCTCTGCTACCCAGAGTTGGGTGGGATAAAAATATAAACAAACAAACAAATAAACATATAACTCATTTCGTTGGACAGCTGAACCTCTTAATGGTCTTCTATGCTACTCTTTAAAAAAAAGTTAATCTTCTGCAATCTAGCATCCACCAGATCGACCAACACACAGCACCTATCATCTCCAGCCACCATTACTAGTGGCTGGGAATTGTGGTAACTATAGTGCAATACACCAGAAAGTCACCAAGTCAGTATTAAGAAAGTGGTTAATTTGAACCATTCATAGCAGCCCATAGTCCAGTCAGGAAGGGCACTTTATTTTGACATTTGGGGATGAGTCTCCTCTCCCTGCTCAGAGCATGAGCTGGCCCTGAGCTGCAATTTTCATTGTTGTCTTTGCTCTGCTGTAAATGAAAAAGGATTGGATGAGATCTCTCATAAGTAGCAAGTGCTGTTTCAACAGGCATAGGAGTACAGGGTGACAATCCAAATGTCCAGTGGATTTAGAAATAATAAGCTGCCCCACCCACCTACCCATGTAAACAGAAGCTATTCCAAAATACACAAAGAGTTATATAGCTCTAAAAAAATCAGATTGATCTGAGATTGCCCAGCTAATGAATTAAATATCTCCCATTCAGTAAATATGGAAACTGATATACATGAGTCTCTCTTCATGACCCCGCCCCAGTAAAGACAGAAATTGTAATCTCTTCTAGACACAAATGACTGAATTCTTGCATCTGATAATATAGGAAGTACTGATTCTCCCCCTCCACCAACCCCCAGGTACAAATCATCCAGATATGACTTCTTAAAAGTTTCTGCCCAGTTCATAATAACAACAACTGCAGTTACTTAGGGAAACTTTATAATAAATGACTGATGGTTGTGAATTCAACTAGCATATATTTAAACAGCATTAATTCCAGGCATTTATCCTAATGGCATCTCTAGTTGGCAATGTGCATATAATTTCATAAGAATAATATGGCACAGGAACTTGACATAGGGCCCAATTATTCTCTCTCTGTCATTCTCTCTCTTTTTTAAAAAGGCTAAATCCTGCTATATTATAAAACAAGAGGCTAATCATTATTATTTCAGTTTCTGCATATTGTAATAAAGTTAATCATGGTAACTAATATGATTTTAATGTGAAAATAATAGGCACTTCCATTGTATCCCCATTCTGGTTGCTGGCAAGTAAAGTCTGGTCTTAAAATAATGAGTTTTTAGACACTGCTTGAATTGGTAACAGCGAGACAAACCCTGAAGATATTCAGTCTCCTCACATGCCCAAGTGGTTCTTTATGTTCTCAACATCTTCTTCATTCCCCAACTAGATGGCAAACAAGCATACCACAACAGAACAGTTCACATGCCACAAGAAAACTGGCCATTCCATGATCTTCTGCCCCAAACGCCTGTGCAAATGGAAAGCTGCCCATGCTTTCTCTGTATGATCCCCGACCATTGCTTTACATCCTTCCAAGAAGCAATGTTGCTGTATCATTTGTTTGGGTGTGATTGGATCCCTTAAGGCAAAATTGCTAATTGGTCAAATAATCAAAGCTTGCTTCCTCTAAAAAAAATACAGATAACATGTTATCAGAGGTGAAATCACATGTCACATTTTTCTATCTCAAAAAACCAGACCTAGAACCAAAAGGTGCAACCAGTCAATCCAATTAACCTGCCCTGGAGTAGGCTAGATCAAAAGAAATGGGGTCTCTTTGAGACGCGGTATGCCATTTGGGACAATCCTTGCATCCACATGCAAGGATCAGGGTGGTTCTGGGGGAGGAAAGCACACTGAACCTCAGAGTGACCTTTTCACCCTTCCTCCCTTTAAAAGGGAAAGGAAGAAAAACAACAATAAAATATTCCTCTCCTTGTCCACTCCTGTCTCCTCCGCTGCAGGGGAATGGGAGGAAGCTTTCGATTAAAAATAATCCTAAGTGGCACACCACGTTAATGCTGACTTACAAGCGCTTTTTTTAATTGCTTCCCTGTCCATGGGAAAACAGGAGAAAGCTTTCAATTTTCCAGCATCAAGTAGTTTAAGCAAAGTAACAGCTTAAACCATTCATTTTGGTTTGATACCAGCGATCACACATGCCCGAGCCAAACCAAAACAGAGTGATCCTAGCTGCACAAAAGAGAGAGGAGTCCCTGAAAGGGACAAAAATGGTACAAGTGGGCATGGGTGTAAGGGAGGGGCTGGATCAGGATGGCCAATACATCATAGGGTCACTGGGGAAAGGAGTGAACCAGTCCATCCACAAACTAGACCAAATCAGAGGACAAATGCCTTTCTGACTGCACCCAAATTTAGGCTTGGCTCCAAAGTTCACACCCAAGACATGTTAAGGTAATCTGCAAGGTAAAGAGACAAGTGAAGCGTCTGCTCTCACAGTGACACGCTTTCTAAGATTAAGGAATTCCTGAATTTGATGATGATGCATCTGTAAACCTACAGTTCCACTCCAGTCACTTGTAATGCAAAAATGCAGCAGAGTTAAGCCCTTTTCATTGAGGATGCTTGGAGAATACTGTACAATCTTTCAGAATTCCTGTGCAAAACATCGTGTACTAGAAATCACTGTCTACAAAATTTCACATTTCTAATGGCATGATGATGCAATTTCAATGTATCAGACAATGTATTTCAGTGTGCTTGTTGAGAAATAATATGCATTTAAATGCATATTTTGAGAGAAAATGATGAGTTTAAATGCATACTGAATATACACTCTGAGGTTTTTTTTTCAAAAATGTGGATTAATATGGAACACGATAATGGATAAAAAACAGAATGATAGCAACTAGATAGCAACTAGTTGCTATCATTCTGTATATTTCTCCAACTGTAGCATTCTGTATATTTCTCCAACTCTATCCTCATCCCAAAACAGTAACTCATACAGGCACCTAGTGATGTGTTTCCCACCGTAGTTCTTACACATTCTAAAAACCAACTATCAGCAAGGGATAAAAATGAATTTGTCTCTCATTTTTACTTAGGACTAAGTATTTGCAGCAGCCTGTGTGCCAATTTGTACATTACACACAACCCATCATTAGAAGCCAAAATCCATTCATGTTCCAAAGATGTAATACAGGCAGACCTCGATCTCTGAGCAATCCTGTTTACATATACAGCCTTTGCTTACTTCCCAGTGACTAATCACAAAAACAAAACCACCCAACACACAAACTGTTGGAGGTGTGAAAAGCTCCTGCAGTGACAATCCAATATTCTCAGCACTTAAGAGAGTCCTTCTTGTAATGATGGCTTATCTCTAATACTGTACATAGTTTGCCCCATGACCTATAAGCATTCACAGTGAATGAAGTAGACAACCCAGTTCTATAAAGTTAAAATCCTTGGTTACTGTTACATCTGTAAATGACACAATGCCTTCTGAATCCCCACACATTTGAGAAACTGATTCCTCAATTTAAAAAATGAGATGAAGAATTCCTTTTTCCTCTGCTGACATATGCAATGAAAAAGTTAGTCAGCTGAAAGTCAGAATGTTTAGGGAAATCAGAGGGGTCAGACAAGGTCTTTTTGAAAGCCAAGTTGGGCATGTGAAGCCCTTGTTGATCTTACAGTGATTCTTTGACCTTTCATCCAAACACTTTGGCTGTCTGTTGAATCAGTCGGACTCCTTTTATTTTTTTCATTTTGTTTCATTTTGTGTTTGGCCTTCATTCTGTATTGAATAACTACCACTGACCATCTTTACTGGCAGCAATTTCATACAATCTTGATTCAGAAAAACAACAAAGTCGGTCTTATCTTGATAGACAATTCTGATTAAATCAACAGGCAACCCATGAAAGTGAAACAGTCAGGCTGATATAAAAAGGGCTTCATTGTGGACTCCAACCTATGCCTTGAGTGGGGCCATTGATATATGGGTGGTGAACAAATCCCACAGTGTTTCATGGGGGTCTACCCGAACCTAGATATGCAAAAAGATTTCAGTCTCCATAAACATAGATCCAAAGTTTATGCAAAATGGCAATTTTCTGGGTTACAGAAAAGAAACATGCATGCAAGCTCACACTCTGAATGTATTTGGTGCCCATATATTTGGAGGATGTAAATGAATGATACAGTTGGTATTGATTAAAACAGCTGGAAATGGAAGAGGGGATGCTCTTCTGGCTGGCAAACAGATTAAAATAATCCCCTTCCCTGGGCTTGGTTTGTTAATGAGTAACAGAAGAAAGGGAAAAGGCAAGTTCAAACAATTAGAGACAAATTTGCATTGTTGGGTTCCCAGGCAGCGTGACAGACTCGTGACTTCCACAGAATCCAGTTGCAGACAAGGGAAAAGAAGAGAGATCTCTCCTCCAGTCTTCCATGTACGTTCACAGAACTGTCCGAGGCAGTCGTCCATGGAAGGTTTCGGAGTCATACAACCACACTTTTAAAAGAGAAGGGCCACCACTCAGTGGCAGAGCCTATGCTCTGCATCCAAGTTGGCCCAAGACAGTTTGCTTGCTGGGACAAGAGACAAAATGGCCACCTGCATTTAACATGCAGAAACTGACCGGCAGTGAAATCTCACTTCAACATTAGTCATTGGATGGTATTGTCCTCCACTATGTCCAAGCCCAGCAAACTTCAACATTAAGTTCTACCTTTCTTTCCAGAGGCCAGAAGGAACTCAAAGTAGGCTTAGGAAAGGCTAAGAAAAGAAACATATTTGGTTTTTCTCGGCCAGCACAGTCAGCAACCACAGGGAATGGCCATAGCTTTCTAAGGCAGACCAGGCATTGCTGGACCAAAGGAGGTCCCAATCTTATGGGGTCAAACTAGAAATTACAGGCAGCATGTCAGTAGATGCTTAAATCATGCCAGTGCTCTAGGAATGTTACCCTGGTAAATGTCTATGTGTCAGCAAATCATGCTTGGGAACAAAAATTACCTCACAATGGCCAATCACAAAATAAAGCAAACAGGCATGCAAAAATATAGGGATATGAAAAGCTCCAGACATCTCACATCTCTGTTCAGGCCCTTCATCTCCAACCAATTCAGTAAAAACATCCGAGATACCAGCAGTGAGGAATGCTTTGGCTAGTAGCCTTGGACGGTCAGTGCCAACCCCAATAAGTGCTGGTCTAGATGGAGCAGTAGCCAGGTTTTTGCCAAAGCCACCTCTAGTTGCCTACTGTGAGTAATATAGGCTATATTTGCTTAATTTTTTTAAAAAAACTCAATGTATGTACATCACTGGTAACAAAGATGTCAGATGCTGATCTGAAACCTACAATGAAATAGTGTGACTGGTGTGTCAGTTTAGGAGGCACTCTGCCTCTGAATGCCAATTGCTGAGGTATATGAGTGAGAAGGTGCCATTGCACACATGGGCTGTTTCTGTGTTTCTCACAGCCATTATGTTGGTCAGTCTAGAAAACCAGCAGGGTGGTGTGTTTTGAGTGTCGGGATGACAGCTGGGCTATCCAGACTCAAGTGGTCCAGCTGAAAGTCATGGGGTAACCTTGGGCCTCTCTTTCTCCCTCAAGCTGATCTTCCTCATAAAGTTCCTTCAAGAATGGGAGGAGATCCACACATACCACCTGGATTTCATTGGAGAAAATGGGATATAAATGTAACCGATTAAAGAAAAACTAGAACAGTAAATCTCTTCTGAGGTGGCCATATATCCTGGAAAATTTTAAGTCCAGCTCTTTCCGTTTTGAAAACGGTTCTGGATTTTAGTCAGTCAGTCAGTCAGAAACCTTTATTGGCATACTGAGTACAGTAAAACAGACAAATACAATAACATACAACTAAAATGTTCACTGGGTAATGGGTAGGAAGGGCCAGCCAAGAGCATATTTAGGGCTCTTCATTCTGCGAGACCGTGCTACGACGTCTCTGCATGATGGCATATACGTATCTGGCAGTTGACAGGGTAAGTTCCTTAATATTGCCACTTAGAAGATGCTGCATTTTCCTCATATCATCCCATCCGGAATGGGAGGAGAGAAAAGCGCACAGATGGGACAGGCGAATATCCTTGTACAGAGTACAATAAAATAGCATGTGCTGCAGGGATTCAACCACTCCCTGACCACACGGGCAGAGTCTCAGTTCTATTGGTAAACCCTTGTACCTGCCCTGCACTATGCTCGATGGTACTATATTGCATCTGGCAAGGGTAAATGCCCATCGTTCTTGTGGCTGTTCTAAGTGATAAAGATAGCTCGGTCTACAGCCATAGCTGAGGGGCAACTGAAAATGGAGTGGAGAGCAGACTCTTTGGGCAGCGCTGTGCAGAGTTTGCCCCTCTATATCCAAAACCCTTTTTTTAATTGTTGGAAACACCCTGGAGGGGGATTTTAAAAGTCAGGTTAAGATGTCAAAGACAGGCATGCGATGTTTGAACTGGTCGTCTTGATATGAACAAACATGCTGAAGAGAAGCCACTGTGAAATAATATTTTCACCTTCCTGTAGAATGTGATACTTACAGCTTTCCATTTGCAATTTACACGTCTGGGTATCCAGAGGATATTTTGACAGATCCATGTTACAGGCAACTGTGGTTGTGATTCTGCAGTTGAGAGAAAGCAAGGTTTGAAGGCATTTATTACAAAGCATCTATGCTTTTCACTACAGTCTGGAGACAACAGTTTTGTTGCTTTGGAGGATAAACACCTGTCAAAACGACCAGCACTCCAGTTTACAGGCCAGAATTTTTCTGCAGTGTGAGGGGAGCAGAAGAGTCCACCTGCAACATTCTACCCTCTCCAGTTTGCCCTGGCACAAGCTGGGAGATCTTCACACTGAAATAAATGGGGTTTACTGTTCTGCAAGGAGGTACTGCTCCTCAAAAAAAGCAGGATGGCTTCTGAAACAAAGGGTGAAGTGGAGAAACAGGATTCTGACCCATGTTCTGCCACTGGGACAATTCAGCTTATGGGAACGTAGCAGTAGATGATGTAAATCAGCCATTATCTACAGAGGAGCCCTATGACCCCTTGGGAGAGTCCTGGCACATTTGAAGGGGGCCACAGACTTTTCTGCACACACACTTCATAAAGTTCATTATGCAACTCATACAATCCTGTTTCAGACTGTTTTCTTCCACGTTATGTTTATGGCTATGGCCAGGAAAAGAATGAGATTGAGAATAGCTAATTGTCAATCAATGATGTGACTTTCCTCCTTGACAGACAACTAAGAAATGAGTTAAACAAATCATAGATAAACAGGTCGCTCAGTAAAATTCAAATATAAAGCAAAATACATGCAAATAACAGTGCAAACAACAATGTGGACACAAGGACATACAGTATACGCTGTATTGGCTTTTCGTAAATTTGTGTTTGATTAGAGATACACCCATCATTTCCCAAATAAATAATGATGCTTCAGTTAAAACAATCCATACTGCAACATCCTCTTGTCCTGTAATATTGGACTTCATGGACACAGCTTAGTGCACCCCTAGCTGTGGAATAATTCTACGACATCTAGTTTTCCTGTTAGCAGATCCAGTATTTCTTCCCTTTTGACTCCTGCAAGCCCTCCAGATCCAACAGAATTTACTTCTAAGAAGCAAACTTAAGACCAGTTGTGGCAAAACCTTTTCCCTTTCCCACAGATGTGGGGCTTCCTTGTAGACTTACCGCAAAGCATATAAGACAGTGCCATTGGAAAACAAACGTATAAGCCGATTTTCTACTGTGACTTCATGTAAGAAAGACTTTTTCGACTCCACAATGTATGTGTCAGGCACCCATAGGTATTTCACCAGTCGAGCATCCAGAGTAAAACTTTTGTTCCCCTGGAAAACTAACCGGGGGTCTGTCCAGCGTTGCCGCAGATATATAGTGGCAGTGTAGTCCTGGGAAAGACAGAGAACCATAGCGATATATACAGGAACCTGTAATTTTATTTAGGCATTTACTTGTTCATTCTTTCATTCACTCATTTGCAAAAAGAAAAATCTTTCTATAATAACCAAAGGTGCTTCCAGGCAAAGCTGTCACCATATAATTGCCCTGCTTATGGATGGGATTTTATGTGGAATCCAGATGTTACCATATTCCATTTGTAATCCATGTATGTTTCCCCCCCTGTTTCTGACAACTGCTGTGGTTTAGGTGTTTGGGAGTTTGATTCCCCACTCTGCCTCTTTGATAGGGGGTGGACTTGGTGATCCATTGACTCCCTTCTAGCTCTGCAGTTCTAAGATTGACATTGATTCCCCACTCTGCCTCTTTGATGGGGCTGGACATGGTGATCCATCGAGTCCCTCCTAGCTCTGCAGTTCTAAGATTGGTGGAGATTAGATTCTGTTGCTTCCCACCTTATCACAGAAAATCCTTTAAGATGGGAAAGATGGAATACCTGCACAGTGTATTCCACACCACTTGTGATACCAGGTGAAAGGATATAGACTGCAACAGACTTTGGAATGAAAGCTCCTGCCAAAACATCATGCTGAGCAACTTCATAAATCTTGTTGCTATCTTTCAGATTTTATTCTCATGCTGTTGAGGAGAGAACTCTTTTCCCTAAATGATTGAGATGATGCACCATTACATATTTCAAAGCAGTGAATTATTAATCCCAGCAATGAAGGTGAAAACCTCTGGGTCATTTGTAGTTCAATTATTTATCTGACCAGAGAGTACAGCTCTATAATATTCTTCATGGGGCTGGAAAATGTTAAGTGGTATCGTGATGAGAATACTTCTGTAGAAAGAGATTATTTGTTGATTAATAGGTTTGGAATACACAGAAAGTCAGCTTCATGAAAGATTGTGTGAAGCTATCAAGGACTTCCTATAGCTTCCAAATGCATAAGACTCCAGCTTCCTGGAGGACTCTGCATTTAAACTGATTCTTAAAGATATGACATTTTATGTAAACAGACCAGATCTTAGACATTTTACTTTTGGTGGCAGAATCCTATTGCATGCCAGGCAAGTGTAATGCTCCATCAACAGATTTGGGCTTGATCTCCATTGCACAAGTGGAGATTGCCAAGAACGGCCATTTAATTCAACAGGACGGCTGCTTCCACAAAGATTCCAACATGTGCAACTTCCTCAACAGATGAAACACTTGCAAAATGGACTTTTGTGAAAGCAAAATCATGGGACAGGATTCCGCCCTTGAGTATGTTTGTGATTTCTAATCCCAAAACCGCCCTTGTTCCTTGTTCTGCAGATACGGAACAGCAACTGACTGACCTGTCAATCCAAATGAAATTCTCATCTCAGACAGGCTTTATTTTCAGAAGACACGTGGGAGGACTCAACCCTGACTGTTTGTTTGCTTATATGTAAACATTTTTCATTATTTTCATATCCCACATGAAGCTTCCAAATCAGCTCATAAGCATAAGGATATAATGACAGTAAAAAGTGTACAGCCGAAAAGCTAACTTACTAATGGTATCATTGTGAACAAGAGGGAATCATATAGCATCAAAGACCTTTTCAAAGAAGAATCTGAGGGCCAGAACATGTTCAGATAAATGTGTAAGGGCCTCTTTTGTTATACATGACACCAGACTCAGGCAAAGGAAGCCACTGTTTCAGTTCCACAGGTAATCCCAATATTATACATACTTCATAGTGGTTTAGGTCTCCGGCTGCAGGGAGTTCAATTCCCCACCATGCCTCCTTGACAGGGGCTGGGCTCAATTTTCCATAGGATCCCTTTCAACTCTGCAGTTCTAAGATTCTTCTTTCAATATTTTTCCAGAATTACAATGTATTTCACCACTTGAGGGAGCACTGGTAGATGCGGATTTGCTATAACATTTAGCAAGACACTAAATCTGGGGTGGGCCGCCTTCGGGGCTGCACTTCCTGTTGCAATCCCCACCCTCTAATTCTTTTTCTTACTTTTTTTTTCTTACTAAAAAAATTCTTACAGAAAATTACTTGCCAACAGACAGATTTCTTTTAAAAATTAAAAGATTGTGTGGGATGCAAGGACCAGGATTCTGGGTGTCCTCAAAATATGACGGAATTGCTCCCTTGATGGCACAAGGGACTTCTTGGCATAGCATTTTTTTTTTCCAAAATAATTCACTGGGTCGTGGGGTGGGGTGGAAGAAACACTGGGACCTCTGGAGCCACATGTTGCTCATTCCTGCCCTAAATGATTGTCCTGAGTTCTAAATCTACTAGGAGGTGCTGCCATTCAGAAGTCCCTGCCCCAGGTACTGACCAAGAGTGCATCTGATACTGCTGGGGCACAAACAGTAGATGTGACTAGGTAGGCGACATGGTGCAGGGTCAATTACAGCCTGTATGCCTAAACTGGCTCAACAGACGGGAACAAGGAAAAACCAAGTAAGAATCAATAAATAAGCAGACACATTCAATTTCATTAGATGACCCCATGTTTTAACATTAAGGTAAAAGGAAAAAAAACTCTTCCCTATCCTCCTCCTTTACACCACGCATGATCGTATACCTCCTGCCTCCCTTACTTACCTTTTCTAAACTAAAAGGAGGAGTTGGAATTCAATCTGAAAGGAAAGCTTCTGGGAGTTGAAGTCCAAGAACATCTGGAGGGCCACAGTTCGACACCACTGCCTTATAGTGTCAAAATGTTTGTGGTAAAGGTGACAAACTAGTGACCCCTCAGATGTTGGATTCTGGCTCCTATCAACTCCAGTGGCCCAGAATGGATGTGATGGAGGACTATGGGAGTTGGAATTCAACAATTTCTGAAAGGAAGGCCCACCATCCCTGGTTTAGGACTTTAAATATAATAATCAGTGAAATGAAATGAGTAGGAAGCAACGCTAACTGAGGAACAGAGTTTCAGAGACCAAGTAGGGGTCCCTGATCAACAGTCTGTCAGCAGCGTCCTCAGAGGGCATCCTCAGCCGACTGTAATTTCTGCCGTTCTTCAAATGGGGCCTCCAGCAAAGAATGCTGGAAGTAGGGAATGGAGACGCTGCGGTGTGACCCCTGCAAATGAGCCAGCCTGCCTGGTGGAGAAGCCAAGAGAAAACTCAACTAAAAGCCAGACTGACCTGTTGAGAAGTTCCTTACAGAGGCCAAACATTGTATTCAAACATATGGCTGCCATTGCATCTAGGAATCTCAGTCTCACCTCACTTAAATCAATTCATGTGACCTGCTGATGAATTAATTTATATCTGCATAGCTTTGCATAGAATAAACAATGGTTCTAAAATAAACCCCTATTTTTAGATTGTGCGTACATATATTGTTGCAGGCAACATTTTGGAAAATGCTCTGGGAACAGACAAAAGAGGTCATGTCTCTCTTATGAACTCTTAACTCTGGGTGAATAGGCTCAATTAACAAGCCCAGGAAATCTACTTTGGAATCTGCAACACTTTACTATCTTTTCTTCTTCTTCTTCTTCTTCTTCTTCAACATGAACAGCAAGGATGTTGATTTGCTTACCATATCACTCTCAGAAATACTAGAAATACTGGCCACATCAAGGCTCATGGCTATCGTCACAGGTTCTCCTACAAAAAGGAAAAGAATATTCTTTCACGAAAAGAAGGCAACTGGATTGGAAAAAGTCAGGCGGGTACATCTAGGGAGAACCAGGGGGACATACTCTTGGTCTTTTACCAAGAACATTTGGAAATAAGCCAATAGGATGAAAGTCAAACCAATCACACATAGCCTTATCTTGAACTTGATGGCCAATACAAATATTCAGGGCAACCCTAGGTGAACAATCAACATTCTGGTCAGTCAGACAGCTCACGCAACAACCATAGCACAAGAGGGTTGTTGTGCAAGAGGGTTGTTGTGCAAGGAGGCATCCTGGGCTTTCTTTTGCAAGCATTAAGTTAGGTATTTGCAACAGGGATTTCCATGAGCAAAGCTTTCACAAGCTGAAAGTGAAGTATAGCAGTGGAGCAGCTTTGCCATGACTGAACAAGATTACAGCCTGTATGCCTAAACTGGCTCAACAGACTCTATATACATTCTAACAACTTTTCCTTAAGGAGGGGGTTCTTCCAACTTATTCTTCTTTTTGGTTGCCCGGTTTTCTGCAAATTCTCCAATGCATTCTAGAATATAGTCGGCAACAGCATTTCAGAGGCACAGGGACCAGAACTGTATACAATATTCTAAGCAGCAGCCTGCTGGGTTCATGTTTTTCCCCGAAGTTCCCTTCCTTAGTTGGTCACAGCTAACTCAGATTCCACTGGTGGGCATCTGAAGCTAGACTTTCCTTTCCTTTCCTTTTTGTTTTGGTTCCAATGTGCAAAATAGATTGTCCCACATTCTTCTTGAAAAGTTCAATGAGAATAAATTAATGCAATGAGAACAGGAAAGATTTAAGTGTCTTATAACAGACTAGTTGTTGTTGTTATGTGCCATCAAGTTAGAACTGACTCAATAGGGCTTGGAAACTAAGTGTGATATTTAAGAGGTGGTTTTACCAGTGCCACATCCTCTGAGTTTCCATGGCTGAGCGGGGATTTGAACCCAGGCCTCCTGAGTCCTAGTCTGTCACTGTATCCACCACACTACACTGGGTATCCAATGGACTAATTAAATAGGGTGTAATTAAACGGGCAGAACCTAGATAGAAAGCTATGAAGACAAATTTTTCCTCCTGATTATATGCTTCTAGAATCTTCCAACAATGACATACCACCAAAATATGGCCTGAGGTATCTGTTGTATCCTTGGGTGAGGTTCCCAAATCCAGGAAGGGATGGTGTGACCCGATAGTCTGTGGGATCAACTCTGTGGCCCAAAATAAACTTCCTGAAAATGAAAAACAAGAACAGTCAAATGTAGCAGTGGATTCTTGGCCCCCCTGCTTTGCCCCACAAGTCCTCTTTAATCTAAGACCACAGGCCCTACGATGGAAGGGTTCGGGCAAGCAGGGCCATTTGGCCCTAAAGCCTTAAGATGATAATGATGATGATCTCAGAACTGCAGAGCTGGAAGGCATCCTATGGATCATTGCTACATAAAACTATACCGTCACGCATTCCACAAAGTTATATATATAAGGGACTAGAAGCTTTAAAAACAAGAGTTCAAATTTGTGAAGATTATAGAACCAAATATAGTACGGAACTGATTAAGGAAGGTATAGAGAAAACAGATATTATTAGTAGAGACCCAAAACCTGACAATCGTAGACCTCATGCAAAGTTGTGATACTATTTTTCCTAGTCCACTCTAGTATCAAGAGCTGAACACACTGTTCTTTGCACACACGCATGTGTGCATACACCCAAGTCCCTTAGCGGAGGTCCCAGTTATTCACCTGAGTGAACTCTAGTTGCCAGATAATGCTCATGTGTCACCGAGTGAGTCTGGCCTCCGTCGCATGCCTTGGTTTGCTCTGATAGTCCTCAGCAACAAACACACCCTGGACTGGAATTCAGAGGTTTATTTCCCAGCATTTCCGTGACCTGCCAGCAATAAGGGGAACTATCCCATGTGGGAACACAGTTTGGAAGCCCCTGACAAATCACTACCACAGGTGGAGGAACTAAAACCTCTGCAGCATTAAAGAGAGTTATCTCTCCACAAGAATAAAGAGTTTGAAAGCTCTGAGAATTTCCATGTTGGCTCAGCAGTTCTGGCTCTCTCAGACCAAAAAGAGAGAGAGAGAGAGAGAGAGAGAGAGAGAGAGAGAGAGAGAGAGAGAGAGAAAGAAAGAAAGAAAGAAAGAAAGAAAAAGAAAAGAAAAGAAAAGAAAAGAAAAAGAAAACAGACAAAAAGCAATTCCTGCCTCTTTCATGAAACACGAACTCCCACCAGTGGAAAACATGGGTGAATGCACAATGTGGGAGACTGTCTCTATGCATGGGAATGTCTCTTTTCTCGAATCACACTCCCGCTTCCCGAGTTCCTTCTTTCATGCTGCAAGAAATTGTTCTGCGCAGCAAAAAATAGCATGTTAGGCACTGGGACTCATTTTTCAGGGCTAAGGGCACCCTAGTGAGAGAAGGCGAAATGGAGTCCCCCCCCAAAAAAAATGCCTTTTCACTGGGTCCCATTTTTCGAGGTATAAATATTAGCCAAGGACAATTTTATAGCATGCGGTACAAAAACAATGCACCAGAATAACTCTAACTGTTTAGGCATTTTCAACAGCAAGTATTAAATCATTTGGTTGTTAAGTATAAACAAAAATCATAGCCTCTTCCTGTTATAAGTCATTGGCCCCTTTTTGCCCCATGTCTGTATTTCTAGGCCTGTGGGCAGAAGGCCATCATGGTGAGATGATTCTCATTAGCCTATTAAAAACATGACACATAATGTTAAATCTGTTTCTGTTGCTGCTTCAGATCATGGTTAGCTAACAAACAGACGGGAAGGAGAAATTTTCTGGGGATTCTTGAACAAAAGAGAGCATACCTTTTCTTGCCCACCCCTAAACCTGATTGATGCAAGCTAGCCTTTCTCAACCAGGTGCTTTCCACCTGTGCCTGGCTGCACCTGTGCCTGGCTGCACCCTGGCCAGTATTGAATGAGAACGAGAGGAGTTGTCACTTCACACATCGGTAAGTGTCATCCTCCGGACAACTCAGATGAGGACTTTTTACATGGAATTTGAATTATGCTTTTGCATGGTCGCCGCCTAGTTTCCATACGATGTATTGGTGCAGATAGACTGCTGAGGCATCCTCGACTGGGTTAGGCTAAAATAGGGTTGCTTTGAAGTGCAATATGCCATTGAGAGCAATCCTTGCATTCGCATTTCTCAGATGAACTCTGTTTAGCCCATTCCTCTCACCAGAAAGAGGGAGGCTGCCTCTACAATAAACAGAGCAATCCTACATTTCAGAAACCAAACTAGCAGGAGTGGTCCTAATTGTGCTAAAAAGAAAAAAAGAAAAGTGGGCCCTGCCAATGAGCCAAAAAGATACGTATGGCCATAGAAAAGGATCAGGTTGGTTTGCTATAATGTGTGCATCATGTGGTTGCTGGCAATTACGTCAAAATAGACCATCACAACAGGGGTACAAAATGTACTATAATTGCAATGTATCCACCATCTATGTTTATAGGGACTGGCCATATTTATTTTCCTCCCAGAGACTGTCACCATTGGCTCTCCAATGTGACCTCCTGCTAGACGCTTGCAAGTCACTTCCAACTTATGGCAACTCTGACAGAGCTTTCCAGGCAAGGAATGAAGATGCTCACTGCCATTCTGCGGTGTTTTTTCTCATTTTGTGCAGGGATTTGAATCCACATCTTCTGAGTGTCAGGCTCCGGCACTCTATCCACTGTACCACATGGGCTCAGCCCATAAATTACAAAATTACCAAAATATGTCAATGGTTTATATTGGGCCGGAATTCAGTCACCACCTTCCCTCTCCATCACCTGGTACCAGAAAAAGGCCTGCTGGGGGAAAGTTTCTTATCTCTTGATGGGAAGGCAGGGCAGCTGCTGCCACCCATGGGCTGTAGTGCTTTGGCAAAGGGGGAGAATGTTATTTCCTGGTATCAGAGCAAACAATTTCAAGATCCCAGCATTAGGGCAAAAAACTCTGGAATAAATGCACATCCTTTTGCCCTTCGGAAGGGAACGTTGAGAGAGAGAGAGAGAGAGAGAGAGAGAGAGTAAAATAATACATTTTACTGAAAGTAGGGAAATAATAACAGCAGGGACATGAAGCCTTCCACACACACCCCCATTAGCTTTACTTCTGTCTCCACTAGTTGGAAAGAGTGGAAAGAGGAGGTGAAACTCTGGTCAGGGCAGTGAGATACTGGCTAGACAGCAAACCCGCAGAAGTGACGTAATGGTCTATTCGCATTTCACAACAGCAGCTTCCTCACTAGCCATGGGGCATTTGGAAGACAGCAAGTCTCTGCTCGTTTATTTTGAACTTGTGCCTTGGATTTGAAGAAATCATACAGGACATTCAGGTCTGCCTGAGTCTTTTGCAAATTCAGCTTATGGCCAGTTTAAGTCAGCCTGCTGCTGGAAATTAACAACTTTCTTCATCCCCGCCTCCAGTCACAGAGACAGTATTTTAAGACATGGTAGGTTAATTTTTTAAATCTATATACATTTGCTCAGATGTTGGACTCTTCCCCCCTACACCATCACTGGCATGTACTTCTAGATATAACTCTATAGGTTTACAGCCTATAGAGTTATATCTAGAACATACACAGTATATTCTACACTACACATTTGATACTATTACAGCAGTCGTCCCTTGATTCTACAGAATCCTGAGATTTCTAGTTTGGGGAGGTAAAAATTCTCTGTGAAAAAGCTATGGTGTACCTTTTCTGGCTTAATAGCAGGCCAATAAGTAATTTGACAAATTACAAACGGCGGGATTCAGTTGGATGGAGCAAGAACAGTGAAGCCGGTTTTCAACTGCTATAGATAGTTATGTGGTGCTCCTTGTGGTGCAATCCCATGACTCTCTGCTCCTAAGTAAGAATGTGAAAACCAGGTTTGCTTTCATCGCATCTGCCAGAATCCCACTGCCATTTTGTACCAGCTTGTGATACCTTTTCTGTTTTCCTTTCTCTGCACATTAGTACATGTTTTTGCTATGTATTAGAGATGGGCACAAAAAGAACCACGAACCAAAAAAACCAACGAACCGGACTGGTTCGTGGTTCGTTTCATGACCCAGTCCAGGAAACACCTAACTTTTCCCCATTTGGTGTTTTGCTTGCTTTGGCAAAAGGGGGTGCCTTCCCTTCCCATGGTCCCCATCGCCTCTGGCTACTTGTTCCTGCCACCTCTGCTGCCTCTGCCATGGGTATCACCCTAAGCAGCACTGGGCCCGGCTTCCCTGTCAGGAGCCAGTTGCTGCCTCTGAGGACGTGTCTGCCTATCAGCTGGATAGTGGGCGCATGCTCAGACACAGCAGAAGGCTCCTGACAGGGAAGCCCAGCCCATAGCCTCCAAGCATGCACCCGCCTATCAGCCGGGCAATGAGTCCATCCTCAAATGCGGTGGAAGGCTCTGGGAAGCCAGGCCACTGCTTCTCAGTATGTGCCCATCGCCCAGCTGATAGGTGGGTGCATTCTCAGAAGAAGCCAGGAGCCTGTCGCTGCCTCTGGGCATGCATCCACAATCAAGACAGAGGCAGCAGAAAGAGGTCAGTCCCTCCCCAGGCACAAACTGGAAAAACGAATTGTGAACCAGTTCATTTTTGTGGGGGTTTGTGGTTAGCCACAAACCATCACGAATCATCAGTTTTTCAGTTCATGCCAATTTGTAGTTTTTTCCCCCATATAACTCATTTTTGGATGCATATTCCTTGTAATGTATACATTTTAAACATATTTCTCTCTTTGATTAGACTGTGTCTACACTCATTTTCAGTTATAAGCATTTTTCAAAAGTATGCATAGCATTCTTTATTGAAATGCCTTGCAAAGAAATGTGTAGCTTTCTTGGAATTGTGTGATTTCCAAAGGAAAACGTATTTCATTCTATCTATTGTGACTCTCAGTAGATGCAAAATCAGTATTTTTCATGCGGAAACATGAACCAGAAACATTTCTTTTCCATCTTCTACTCAGGGGTAGATCCCAATGAGTTCCATCAGGCTTACTTCCAATCAGTTTTTCAGTTCATGCCAATTTGTAGTGGTTTTTTTTCCATATAACTCATTTTTGGATGCATATTCCTTGTAATGTATGTAATGATTAGACTGTGTCTACACTCATTTTCAGTTATAAGCATTTTTCAAAAGTATGCATAGCATTCTTTATTGAAATGCCTTGCAAAGAAATGTGTAGCTTTCTTGGAATTGTGTGATTTCCAAAGGAAAACATATTTCATTCTATCTATTGTGACTCTCAGTAGATGCAAAATCAGTATTTTCATGCGGAAACGTGAACCAGAAACATTTCTTTTCCATCTTCTACTCAGGGGTAGATCCCAATGAGTTCCATCAGGCTTACTTCCAGGTAAATTACATACTGGATTGCAACCTCAGTCTATTTTCTTGGAAACATGTAAGAAGAGAAGAGCCTTCGCTCACACATTAAGGCCAATGCTCTTTCTTCATCCAGCACATGAGCGTATCTCCCAGTGACTGCTTACAAAGACAAAACCAGGTTAATTGGTCAAATGCAGATTGAGACAATCAACAGGCTGCCATTTCCTCTTAAGGGGTCTTGGCTTCTTTTTCTGATTGTTTCTATCATCTAGTAGTTCATCCTTTAAAGAGGATGAGTGGTTGCTACCACTAATACCAAACTGGGCATTTAATCTAGTGCTTAAGGTATGCAGAAGTTTGCTACTCAGTGAAAGAGGGCAGCTCTCACATTTCAGCTGTTTATTCATGGAGAGAGAAAGCCCTGTTTACATCCTAACTCACACAGACAGAACCACTGCTTAAAAGGCAGCACCCTTCCCTTCTTCATTGCTACTTTTTCCACATGGAAAGAAGTGTATCTGAAAAAGCTGTTCATTCCTAAATGTAGATCTCCAGGCAATCAAGAACCTGTTTTCCAGGATGATGTACTGTGGATGTGAGCATAGGTATGAATTTTTTCTAGAATATAGTAGCCTAAAGTTAAATTTATTCTGAATGTGGGCTGGGGTGAATCTGAATGTTTCCACTTGTCAGAACTTGGGAAAGTGTTCTTCCTTCCTTCCTTCCTTCCTTCCTTCCTTCCTTCCTTCCTTCCTTCCTTACTTACTTACTTACTTACTTACTTACTTACTTATTACAACTGCTAGAACTCACAACCTGGCAAAAAGTGTCTGGCACTTATAGTCCAGAACAATAACTTTCCTAATATGTGCCTTTAACCAAGCACAAGGTGTTCCCTCAGTAAGCAAACTAAGGATGTGACTAGAGGGAGGAATTTGAAGTGATCTGGGTCATGTTTAAAAGATTAGTATCTTTGGTGCACTCTATTTTATCTCATACTGAGTGATCCTTCTATTTACATTGGAGACATTTCTTCTCCTGTGAGAAGGATCCAGACATCACTTCAGATTGCTCCCATTTCTCCCCCTTTCAGTTACTGATGCCCCCACCCTTTTCCTTGCATTTTGTCATGGGTGTTATTCTGTGGGCTTCACTCATTTTAAAACTGAATATAGTAAGTGGCATAGCACTACAGCAATACATAGCTATTCCCTTATATCTGAAATAGAACTGAGAATATTTTAAAAATAGTGAGAAAAGGAAAACAGAGGAGATGATTTCTCCACCATCCTTTCTATTGTGACAACCCACTGCATGCATCACAGGGGTGTCACTGAAGAGAGTGTCACCCACAGCTCTACTTGGGAACAAATTAAGCAACCACACAGACTGTGGGATGGATCATCAGGAACGCTCTCAATCACACCAAATAAACTGTAGCCCTAACAATGTGCCAGAAAGAAGCAGAACAGCTCGCAAAAGAGGTGGGATGGATCACCTTTGATTTAAAACACATATGGTCACTGGAAAATAGGGTGAACCAAACCATACCAAAAATGAACCAAATAGTGAACTATATTTTCATCTGATCGCCTTCTAAAATGTTTCATTGGAAAAACATCCTGCTTCTGATATACGATATTTATGATATCTAATAATTTTTTAAAAACATTTACAGCAGGCTTGTCCAACATGTTGCCCGAGGGCCGCATGCGGCCCAGGTCAGCTCGTAATGCGGCCCAGTGCAATTTTTTATTTTTAAAGAAATTCCAAAGTTTCAAGTTACACTGCTGGCGCTTGCGGCCGGAATGTGGCCGGGGCATGTCACAAGAGTAGAGGGGGAGAGAGGGAAGGAAGGAAGGAGTGGGAGGGGAGGGGACAGGGGGGCTGCGTGACTGCATTGCACCGCCCCCGTCAATAGGTGGACCCCCTCTGGGCCCCATACCAGCAGCAGCACGCAGCTCCCGGTAAGCATGCTTGGAGCGGGGCTGCGGAGGACAGCTAGGGCTGCCCCCCTATGCGGCCCAAACCAAATGTATGTGTGGCCCAAACCAAATTTTCATTTTCTAATGTTGCTCAGGGAAGGTGAAATGTTGGACACCCCTGATTTAAAGGGTGGATTCCTACCCTTGTTCAAAGGCTGGGAATCCACCCATTGAAACATTTCTCATATATAACATGCTCCCATACAAGTCACCAAAGGACCTCCACTTGAGCCTTGGTAGGTTTGGACCACTTGTGGCCATCCGTCGAGAGCAGACCTATCTTTGGTATTTCAGTAAAACAAACGTATTTTGGATGTAATTTGTCCTAGTGTATCCATTCATTTATATATTCAAGCTCTGTTCACTACTATATACTATATGTCCTGTTACATTTCAACATACCCTTGACACAGAAGGAAAAGCCACACATGGGTGGAGAAATAACAGCTGTAGCACATTTGTGAAGATTATTCAGTGCTGTCTCTGATGGTTCAGTTCTTGATGTTCTGTGGAGTAAAGCATATAAATACTTCATTTAGGTAAGCAGGATACATAGGTCACTCTGTTTCAGCTCTGTGTCACCACATAGAAGAAAACAACAAAAGGATACCTCTGAAAAACCAGGCTACAGTCTGTGGAAATGTATGCCAAATAAAACTCCTTAAGATGCATCCAGATTCTTTGTTGTTGCTGCTGATTAACATAGCTCCCTCCGCTCCCTGAAGTATTGCCAAGTTTAAGTGTCCAACTCAAGACACTATGATAGCAAAAACCTGGAGACAAAATGCTGGAAGAATTTTTTTTTTTGTATTTTTTATTTTTTATAAGGGATAACAAAAAGGAAAAGGGAATTGGGATTGATGAGGAAGAGGGGAGACAATAACATACTTTCATCCATTCTGTACCTATTGCCATATCAAGATTTTAAATTATTCTATTTACTCTTTTCTGCCTTCTAGATTCAGTTCTCCTTTCAATATGTACTGTTCACAAGCTGCCTGTTGATTCTGTCCACTTGTTAAATAGATCCCATCTTTCTGTTGCCTTTTGCAAGGGATAGTCCTTCATAACTTCTGATAAAATGTCCATTTCGGCTATTTCCCGTATCTTTTCAATAAGATCTTCTTGTTTCGGTACCGTTGATCTTTTCCAATTTTTAGCATATAAAATTCTAGCTGCCGTAACTATGTATATAACTATATAATTCTTTGACTTATCTATATTTTCAGGTATCATACTCAATAAAAACAGTTCTGGGGTTAATGGCACTTTACAGAGCAATATTTGTTCCAACATTACATGTACTCTTTTCCAATATTGTTTCGCTACTCCACATGACCACCACATATGATAATAGCTTCCCACTTGTGATTCACATTTCCAACACTTATTTGATACATCTGTATACATCTTTGACAATTTTTCTGGGGTCATGTGCCATCTATAAAAAATGCTGGAAGAATGTTGAAACCAACCTCGCTTGTAACCCATAACCCAAATCCTAATCTTTGATTAGATTCATCCTAAGGTTTTTAGTACGGATAATGAGTCACTTCTAGTCCTTTGGATTGTATAGGATTCCAGGTCCCATAGCTCCACACACGTCAAAATTTACCACAGCACCATATCCAAGATGAGATGGTGTGCATTTTAAAAAATCAGTACATGCATACAAACTCTTGTATCATCAAATATCCAGGTTCCACTCATAAAACAGAGCTAAACTAAAATGCCACTTGTAAAACATCACCAGCAACAACAACACTAGTTTCATTAAAGCCATAAAACCCTACCCTCAGCTTCCTAAACATGTTGTACTCCCAATATTTCTGGGTAACAATTCCCACTTTTCTAAACCACCAGCACAACTGAGTATTGTTCTCTGCAACAAAAGTATGAAAATGCTCTATTTAAAAGTGGTTTCGTTGACATTGCTGGGAGTAGACGTGATTCCCTTGGCTCCAGGCCTAGATGTTACCTAAGAGCTTAAACAATGTGACCCTTTAAGTCTCTGTTTTGTGCTGCCACTGCGTGGTTGTTTTCCAGGACTGAATGGTGGAATTGCGTTTGCTTAGGTGAAACCATGTTTCCTAATACTAGTTTCCAAATGATGAGCTCCTGGGGAGCCCAGATGTTCCTCAGAAGCACATTAAAACTTCCTCCAGAAAAGGATTACCATTGGTAGACAACCTTTCTGGAAAGGATCTTGCCGCTGTTCCCAGTTTTCTCTTGCCATGCACAGTCACCGGAGTATAGAGGACACCACTCGTCACTTCATAACAAAGCCCTGGGCTGGGTGTGCTCACTTGTTCCCTTTCCAGCTTCATGCCTTCCTGAACTCAGTGCTTTCCCTCTCATAGATGGTCAGTATTGCTTTGGTTGAAGGGGGAAATGGGTGGAAAAGCTATTTTCTTTTCTCGGACAGACTGTGCAGCAGAATTTTCACCTAACAGTTTATTCCATCGTCCCTGGCCTAAAATCTTTTGCTACCTGAGGCCAAAGACAAAATCACATTCCATAACCAGAGCCCAACTTCTGAATTTTACTTCAAGGCTGGGAAGGGGGGGCCATGTGCTCTACTGCCCCTGAAGGCAGCAGGATTGTAAGAAGGCTCTGAAAAGTCACCTCCAACCTGGTGATATTTACATGCTTTGGACTAGAATTCCCACCCTCCCTGATCCAGGGATGTGTTGACTAAAGTTTCTGGAGTTACTGGTGAGAATGTCTGAGGAACACTAGGTGGGGTGATTCTAGTTTAGACAATGGCTTTGCCAAATAATTCAAGGATTCGGTCCAATGCATATTTACTTAGGCAAAAACTCCCAATGAAATTAATGTATTTTTCTTCTGAGTAAACAGCTTACAATTCTATAACAGATTTTGCTGCATGAAGTTATCTGAAATCAAAAACAATGAACTAGACAGTCTGGTTCTCCCAAGTCAGCAGAACCTTTCATAAAGGTTAGCCAAGGCCTGTATGTATCTGCATGCAAACATCTGAACACTGTGAACATGATGGAAATGTAGGGTGATGTAATGTAGGCAAATGTATCTGCACATAAAAATGTGCAAGCTACCCCACAAGATAAAACTGTTCGGATGATGGGAGAGGAAGAATGCTGGTGTCAAAGATGTTCCTACCCGGGGGCTGAGAAGACGTGAATGTTCCTGCCGTGATGATTTAGGGCCCCTAATTGCCACAACGATACAGGGTAAAAGGTTCAACTTTCAGAGGATGTCAGAACTGAGAAGTAAGGCTGGAGCATCAGGGGAAAATGGCCTTTAAAATAATAGCAATTTTTCTAAAATCTTGCCAAACAGAAACAAAGCACAGCCTCCATCATTCGTTTCTAGGGGGAAGATAGCATGGAAATCAGCCATGACTATATAATAGCTAGAGACACTATTTAATACTGTCATGGATTCTTATTTTAATTTATTTGATGGGTGTAATATTTTAGCCTAGAACGCTACAACATAATTAAAAGAAAACAATTGGGATCTGGAGGATTTTAGAATTTGCACTTTGGAGCTTTGTTTTGTTGACAGAGAAAAACAAATCTGTTTGTTTTGTCTTCCAGGAAAAAAAGCAAGGGGAGCCAAACTTTGTACTGCTTAGAACATATATAGTATAAAAAGGGAAATGATCTAACAAACTAAAACGTTTTAACTTTCAAAGAACTGGAAAGTTGTTGAGTCACAGCAACTGGACTTCTTTCTTATTAGGTTACATCTTATAAGAAAGAAGTCCAGTTGCCATGACTCAACTTCCAGGTAACCTCACCTGGATGACTGAAAATCTTCACAGATAAACTGAAAAGTTGTTTAAATGGGGTTTTCCAGTTTGCTCACAAGCCATTTCAAGCCAGGCTTATGTCAGATAGCATTCTCCTGGAACCACACCAAATTTCAGTGATGGGGGGGGTGCCTTCAAAGGCTACGAGGCAGACTTAAAGACCACACACACACCCAGGTACTACCTGATTTCCATCTCTGCTCTAAGAGAAAGAGGCTCTACAATTATATGCCAGGTGCTGAGGATATCCTTTTCCATTACATGCTGCTTTAATTTGGATCACAAATAATATTACTAATAATTTATAGGCTGAAATCAAGTAGTAGGTCACAGCTAAAGCAGGCCTATTCAATCAATGCAACCTATGGAGGAATGGACTCATGAAATCCCCATTGATTCAATGGGCCTACTCTAGTTGCAACTTAGTACTAGATTTCAGCTCCCCCTCCCCATTTCCCTTCCCTTCCTTTTTTCTTTCCTTCTTTTTTTTTTGAGGGGGTTCACAGCCAACTTTCCCCCCAGCTGCTCTCTTTGAGATGTTTTTGATTACAGCTCCCACCATTCTTTAACTATGGAGTTGCTCAAAGTTACAGTCCAAACAGCTGTAGGATACCAGCTGTTAATGAGTTCTAACGTTTAGGTATAAGGGTACACTGGGCAAAAGGTATGTGGGCATATGAAATAGGCTGGCCTACAAATAAATGGCCCATGGAATGAACTACTGACCTATGGAATGGCCTGCCTATGGAATGAGGAAATCTTTTTCATTTCCTGGTTTCATAACTAGCACAATTGATTGTTTCCTATTGGCAAAAAGGGCTGAGGATTCCTTCCAGTCTGAATGTTTGCATGATGGAACGAGCAAAAATAAACAGATAGACAATTGTTGTGTCAACAATGTTTTGGCTTAGCTGAAAACAATGGAGAGAGTACAAGGTTGGACACTTTCAATGAGTCCCAAAATGTACCTTGATAATGTGCTACAGTCATGTGGACAAAAGGATGATTTACTTTCTGGGAATAAAGAAAGGTGGTGCAAAGAACTGCTGGATCGTTCGGTGGTTTAGGTATCTGGCTTTGAAGCCAGACGTTGGGAGTTCAATTCCATACTGCACCTCCTTGACAGTACCTGAACTTGATGTTCCATAGGGTCTCTCCTAGCTCTGCTAAGTTCTAAGATGATGGTGATGATAAATGAATTCAATTTTTCTCCCAACTTGCCATCTACCAACACAGAAATGGATTTTAGAGGTGAAGGGAGGGGCAGCTAACCAAAATGCAGGACAATTAGGGCCATTCATGGAACAAAAAGCAATTGCTGTTGGGGCGAGGAGACTTGGACTCAGAGTCACATTCATTCACACTCACGTTCACACTCACATTCACGCTCATGTACAGATGCTTTACAGTTCACTTTTTCTCATGTAACTTTTACTCTTGCAGATTTTGACTTAGCCTTGGAGCCTAAGTTTGTCTTCTTTTTAAGAGAAGCTTTAGTTTTCACAACAGGTTAGAGTCCTCCTTCTGAGAGATTCTACACCTCTCTGTCTTCTTTTATTTATTCCTTACACTTATACTTACACTCAAAACACCAATCATTTTACTACTTTAATTCACATGGTGTGCTTTTTCCCCTCATTTTCCCCATCTGGATTCTTCTGAATCAATGTTCTTGGCCATTCCCGAGTCTTCAGGAACCTATTCCCTGGA